GCCCCGCGCGCTCCAGCAGCTTGTTGCCGCCCGCGCGCGCGCCCGCCGCCAGCCCCGCGAGCAGCGACACGTAGAAGGGCAGCAGCGCCAGCAGGTCGACCACGTTGAGCGGCGTCCGCAGGAAGGCGCACTTGCTCTCGGCCTGCAGCGAGCGCAGCAGCAGCTCGAAGGAGAACCAGGCCACGCACACGGTCTCCATCACGAAGAGGCTGCGGCACTTGGGGGAGCACTCGCCCTGGGGAGGAGAGGACGCGTGTTGGGGGGCCCAGGCCTCGGTCCCCCGGCCGCCCTGACCCCTGACCCCAGCCCCTGCAAACATGCCGCCGCCGCGGGGCCAGGGCTAGCCACGGAAACGCCCAATACCTGTGCAAAAAGGATTGAACTGGGGCGGACCCTCGCCAAGGGTCGCGGGTTGCATTCCTGGCCAAGGGCACTACCTGGGTTGCAGGTTCGACGCCCCCCTTCCTTGGGGCTCGTGTGCCCAGCAACCAAGCCTCTCCAATTCTCTCTCACATCGATGTTTCTCTCTCCCTCCCTCCCTTCCATTCTCTCTAAAAATCAATGGAAAACATAGCCTTGGGTGAGGGTTAGCAAAAACAAAACAAAACAAATGGTTTAATTGGAGATTGGCTTCCGGCATGAGCTCAGCTGACCTGCTCCCCAGCAAAACTGGTGAAAGTCCTTTAAAAAACAGCCGTTTAAAGCCCCCGAAAATGGTCCTAAGGGCAAGCAGCAAATGCAACAACACGTATTCAAGAAAATCTATGAAAATTTATGAAGGAAGGAAGGAATCTGCTATTTGAACCAAGACCCCCTCCCCCCACCCCCAGAGAGGAGACTCGGTTCCCATGCCCACAGGGAGGGGTATCTCCCCACACCTGCAACACACCCGCTGGAGCTCACAGCCACCTGAGACGCATTGCAGCTTGTTGCTTCTAGGTTTGGGGAGGGTTTTGTTCCAGCAATTTCTGCTTGTTCATCCCGAGGGCGGTAAAGTCTTCNGGGGAGGGTTTTGTTCCAGCAATTTCTGCTTGTTCATCCCCTGAGGGCGGTAAAGTCTTATGTGAGACTTAGCGCTGGTCACCCCACGCTGCCTGGGCCAGTGGCAAGGCTCTGAGTCCAGCCCTGAGCCTCATGGGGCAGCAGGGCAGGGGGTGGGGGGCTCTGAATCCCAACCTTGAACCTGGGGGACACCTTTCCCTGGGGTGGGGGCCTGACTTTGTCAAGCCACTGTGTCCAGTTGGGTGTAAGCTCTGAGAGGTTAAAGGTTGTTCCAGAGAGAGCAGGAGGGGCTTTCTGCTGGACCTGGGCCAGTAACTGGATTCGAGGGAAACCCAGAGCCACAAATTTGCAGTCAAGAGACAGCTGGGGCCCAT